TGACCAGAAATTTCTTGACCATCTGAGCGACGATAAACTTATTAATAAGAAGTCCGTTCCATAGAGTTAGTTTTATGAGCAAGAAATTAGAAAATACCAATAAAGGAAACGGTTCATTAATCACTGCCTGATCTGCAGTTTTATTTCCGTAGTCTTCTTTTAACATCAACCGTCAATAGACAGTTACCATTATAATATGGCGCCTATTTGAAGTCGATCTCAAGGATCGATAATATTGTACAGTGTACGTAAAATTGAACGAGTGCTTTTGGGGACAAAATGAGTAAGCATTGTTATGAGTTATGGAATGTTGCGTGAATGTTTTGTTTTGTTTTAAAGAATTAATAAGGCCACAAAACCTGGCATGGGCTAATATTCTATCAGCGCGAACAGATTACTGCCAGGATTTAGCCTACTGAACACACAACAACACAAATGTTATCGATTAGTCGTTCCACAAACAGGAAAAACATTCAGACAGATTCATGATGAATATGACGCTGATCGTGATATGTAGGCGTTAAAAACAGCTCCTTTCTCTTTAATGTGTGTTATATCACATATTTGAACTTGGACCAGACCAAACGCGAAAAGAGAGTTCTGGTCTACTTTCGTTACATGCTTTTCTCATTTTTTTACGCAGTAGATTAAATATTCTACAGAGTTATATTGATCAAAGATATTCTAGATAGTTCTAGTACTCCATCTATCCAAAAAGATAGTTAATGTACAGGTGAAAATAGGTGTTTAAAAACATATAAATATGAACTTAATTATTGGGTAATTACAACCAATCCAACGGTCTATATCAAACACGGCAATGGAATTTCTCAAGGCAAGTATTTATTCGTCGGGTGTTTTAATATTCAAAAGTACATGTGTTTGTCTTAATGTGTGATATATTCAAACTTTCATATAAATTATACCAGAATAAATATAATCTGTATATATGCCAGGTTTTGTAGTAATATTGTTTGATTTTTTGAGAGGGGGATTACGTTAGTGTTTTGAAATATGTGTTATAGAAAAATTGGGATTGACTATTACTTATAATAATCTGCAAATACATATAACTATCATCTGAAGATTACAAATAATAGCCAACGATTATGCACATTTAAAGATTGTAATCTCAGTTATTATTCCTAGTAACGGATTATTAGCTTCTCCCTTAAGAAACCCATCACGTGTGTAATTCATTCCGAGAAGTGTCATTTTGCTGGAGTTGTGCAATTTGTTTGGAAATGTAACTGCGTTCAAACAAACACAGAACTCAAGTGATTTCAAGGTTACTGAATAATTCAGTATCTCCTTTAAAGATTTCAGTCACATAAAATACACAATATCTTTAAGAACCTTAAGGGCAAACAAGTAGAAGTGACGGTAGTCCGACGAAATGTAGAAAATCATTAACAATTCTGAAGAAGGATGTTTTCTGGATTTCAGTGCCATGTGGTCTAATAGAACTTCTAAAAGACTACGCGGCACTACAACCCCAAAACACAATTTTTCGTATTTGGCGCCGTGATAACCTCAGATCGTAATCATAAAGGATATGTACTGTAGTAGTTTTGCCATGGATTCGAATGGCTAACCTCGTAAAAATAAATCTGACTAGTTACGAGGTGCGATCGGAAAGTTTCAAGACTGCGCCTATAAAAACCCGTACACTTATCTCAGGTATTAAATTCATCCATCACCCTCGAAGTAGTTCCCCTGGGAGTGAACACAACGATCCCAGCGCCGCTGCCAAGCCTGGAAGCATCCCTGGAAATCTTTATTTGTCAGCCTGTCAAGCACCATCTGCGATTCTGCCTGAATCTCTTCTATCGTCTCAAATCTCCTTCCCTTTAGCTGAATTTTCATCTTTGGGAAGAGGAAGAAGGCACACGGCGAATAAGGAGGGTGCGGGATGACGGCCATGGTGTTTGAGGCCAAAAACTGCCGAACTGCTTCTGGTCCTCAGACAGGAGCCTTGGCACAAACTTGGCTGCGATGCGTCGCATGTGGAGTTCTTCCTTTAGAATCAGCTGACAGGTCCCATAGCCTATCCCAACAATGTCGCACAAGTCGTTGATGGTACGACGTCGATCTTCGTAACAGTTTCGGGCGTTGTGCTCGAAGATGGTCGGCCAGAACGCTCGTCATCATCGACAGAGGTTCGGCCATTTTTAAAAATCGCAGGAGGGTCGGTGTAATGCACTACCAAAACGCCCGTAACTAAGAAACAAATGTTAATTCGATGATGCCGGCTGGCACACTGTTTCACTATGAATATAGGCCGCACCCCCTAGCGGCAGAAGCTTGTACTACATCCGGTTCGCCCTCTATTGACACAGTCTAGAAAC